GGGGATCTCAGTCCTGACAGGGATAGTCACAAATAAGTGAATTTAGTGTTTGATTTTTTTGTGAGGAATTGAGGTTATAAACTCTAACCCACAAAAACATGGAATATGTGATTTTTATCAGTGTGAGTTTTTCATGATCTCTTATACTCCTAATTGGCCAAACCATTAGAGAGTTATGCAGGTCATCCAAACTGCTCCTGATAAAACTTTTATACCACACCATTATGCATCCTGTTATGCTAGTCTACTCTGGAATGTCTTTAGAGAGCTTTTAAGAGGGTTTTGGGTGTTTTTTTTTTAAATCCATCCACATCTAAAGCCAGGTACCTTGTTTCTGTACTTTAGAGTTTCTAGACTGTGACTACCTATTTGTGGCAAAAGAGCACTAAAAATTAAAACAGAGCTTCTTTCCAGACTACTAATTCATACTTTCTCAGGCTTTTATTGAGCTGAGAATATCCTATTGACTCAAAAGCCAGGTCTAATGTATCCCAGGTTACCTCTCTGAAACATCTCTTTGTCATATACGCTGCATGATTTTTACAGTTCTTGAAGGGTATGTCTACACTGCAATGTAAGCCCAGGGTTAGTGGGACTCTAGTCAGTGGACCCGGGTTAGGGAACCTTGAGTTTGAGCATCTATGTTGTATTTTAACCTGAGGTTAAGAATTTTCTGACGCATGCTCGAACCTTCGGCTCTGGCATCCACACGGCACTGCACAGACCTACGTCAAAGTAACCATGTCCCGGAGTCTGTACTGTGACTGGGGGGGTCTGGAATGGATCACACTGACTGCCACGCTCCGGGCAAACTGCAAGAAACAGGGCAGACAGTACCCAATAACTGGTGGTTTATTTTTAAATTAGATTTACCACACCAGTATCAAAAGAGCTTCTGCAGCACCACACTGGTTAACCAAACACAGTTCCCGCTAGGCATTTCAGGCCTTGGCTCCCATCCCGACAATCAGGTCTAATATAGAAAGAGGTTATTGAAAACCCAATTCACCAATGTGAGGTTCTTCTAATCCCAAAGGATCAGTCAGACACTTACCACCAGGTCAATATGTATCTCAGATCTTACCCAAATATTATGCTGTCAGCCAATCCACACTAACTAAAGATTTATTAAGAAAAGAATAGTTATAAATGGTTAATAGATCATATATACATACAAGTGATTGCAAAGTCCTTATATCAGGTTTGTAGCAATGATGGAAAACTCTTGGTTTGCAAAAGTTGCTCTGGCAAAAGTTGCTCTAGTAACTTCCAAAAGATTGGGAGATCCTCTGGACATTGTTCAAAATACTCCTTTTAATTGTAAAACCACAGTCCAGAGAATTGGAGCAGGAAAAAGGCAAAATGGAGATGTCTCAGGTGTCTCTTATATCCTCTGCCATGTGCATGGAAATTTACTGTTCCAAACAAAGCCCACAGCCCCTGTGTATGGAAAGTTACTGACAAAGATGGAGGCCTAGATCACATTTCCACATCACATGCCCTTACATGTTTTGATAAATCACAGGGGTGACCATTGGCCTCCTTGCTGTTTTAGGCATTTGCAGGAAGACTCATTGAAGAGCTGATCCTCCTTTAATGGCCTGTCACCACCTGAATGGTCCATCCACAGTTGAATGGTTCGTCAACACTGGGCTGGCTAGACGGGATGTAAAACTACCTTGTGGGTGTCAACCAAGAACAAAACACATGTTTGAGATACAAATACATAGCAAATATTCATAAAGTCAGATACAAAGATGATACATGCATATAAACAAGATTATCATACTTAGCAGATTATCAATGGAAAAGTTGTACCTTACATGACCTACTTTGTATAAGATTTGTTGCAATTGTATAACTGTGGTAGCAACGATGATATAAATGGTCATCTTCAATTATACATTGCAGTGTAGATGTACCTCAAAAGTCCTAGGGCCTGATCCAACCTCCACTGAAGTCAGTGGAGAGACTCACGTTGATTTCAGGGGAGCTGGTATCTTCCACCTTTGCCAAATGAAACAGTCATTCCGTCAATTAATTGCATTGCTGTTGCTTGTGCCCTTTCACTTTAACAAGTTGCTCTGGGGGGGCTTTTGGCTGATTTCCTGAGTGCATCAGCAAAGATCAGGACAAAAGGAACATATTGCCACTTATGGCAAAGTTAATTGCCTTCAAATCATACTGTAGCTGAAAAGACTAACTACAAGGCACCTGAATAGACTGCACCCTAGAACATCCCTGGCAATCTGCATGGAATCACAGATAACTCTCTCCCATAATAATGGGAAGAGACCCTAGTTGGTCATCTAGTTCAAATTACCTGTTATAAGTATGGAAGATTATTACATTATCCATGAACACATCTAAACTTGATCTAAATATATCTGGTAATTTTGCTATAACACCTGGCCATACAATAGTTGTTTCTGAATATAAATGATGAAGTAAATCTGTCCAGTTTTAGCATCATACTGGGAACTAATATGCAATTTATTTACAATTATCCCTAAATCTCTTTATATGGCTAAGAATGTCCTTTATACTGGTACAACAAATACAATTTAATGTGTGATGAATAATCAAAGTATCCGATCAAGAGACCTGAGGTATCCCATTGCCATTTCTCCTGTCTGATGTCACACAGTCACCTCTTTTTAGCTACAGTGCTACAGGGGTTCCGGCTGAGTGAATGGAACCCCAGGCTGGCAGCGGGCTGAGCGGCTCAGCCTGCCATTACTCTGGGGTTCCGGCTGCCAGCTCCTGCCAGCCAGGGTCTCAGCCGCTGGCCCCACTCAGCGCCCGCTGCCAGCCTGGGGCGCCGAGTGGGGCTGGCAGCCGGGACCCCGGCTGACAACGGGGCAGCAGCTGGAACCCCAGAGCGGCGGTGGGCTGAGCAGCTCAGCCCGCCGTCGCGTGACATAAAAAATCGGCTCGCGTGCCACCTTTGGCACGCGTGCTGTAGGTTGCCGACCCCTGCTCTATATCCTAATAAAGACGAGAGAGTAGAAGTTGGTAAAGTATAGGTAGGAACTGAAAAGGAACAGTCAAATGAAAGAATCCCATTCAATTATATCACATGAAGGTAGACAATTGACAAATTTTATAAGCGCTTGTATAAAAAAGCTAGAAGTCTAAATACTAAGATGGGTGAACTTGAGTGCCTGGTATTAAGTGAGGCTATTGGTATAATAAACATCACAATAACTTGATGGAATGATGAGACACAGTAATACTGGGGTACACAATATATAAGAATGACGGAATAGGTCATGCTGGTGGGGGAGTGGCACTATGTGTGTGGGGGGAAAAATCAGTCAAATATAATAAAAATCTGAAATCAAACTGTAGCATAGAATCTCTATGGATAGAAATTCAATGCTTGATTAATAAGAGTATAGCAGAAAGAATATACTACCGACCACCTGGCCAGGACGGTGATTGTGAAATGCTCTGGGAGATGAGACCGACTACAAAAACAGAAAGCCCAGTAACCATGGGGGATTTTAACTATTGCCGTATTGACTGGATACATGTCACCTCAGGACAGGGTGCAGAGATAAAATTTCTAGACACCATTGACTGCTTCTTGGAGCAGCTAATCCTGGAACTCACTAGGGGAGAGGCAATTCTTGATTTAATCCTAAATGTCACATAGGATCTGGTCCAAAAGGTGAATACAGCTGAACTGCTCAGTAATAGTGACTATAAAATAATGAAGTTTATCATCCTTGTAGGGAGGAAAATACCAAAGAAACCCACCACCGTAGCATTTAACTTTTAAAAAGGGTAACTACACAAAAATGAGGAAGCTAGTTAAATGGAAATTTAAAAGGAACAGTCACAAGAGTGAAATGCCTGCAAGCTGCATGGAAACTATTTAAAAACACCATAATAGGGGTTCAAACTAAATGTATACACCAAATAATTAAAAAAAAACAACACGGCAGTATGAGGACCAAAGAAATGCACCATGGCTGAACAGCAGAGTAAAAGAGGTGGTTAGAGGCAAAAAGGGATCCTTTAAAAACTGTAAGTAAGAGCCTACTGTGGAAAACAGGAAAGGAGCATAAGTTCTGGGAAATCAAGTGTAAGAATATAATTAGGCAAGTCAGCAAAGAATTTGAAGAGCAACTAGCAAAAGAAACGAGCAAAAATTGTTAAGTACAGCAGAAGCAGGAAGCCTGTCAAACAATCCATGGGGTCACTGGTCGATCAAGTTGCTAAAGGAGTGCTAAGGAAGACAAGACTGTTGCAGAGAAGCTAAATAAATTCTTTGCATAAGTCTTCACTGCAGATGATCTGAGGGAGATTCCCACACTTGAGCCTTTGCCTTTGCCTTTTTTTTTTAAGTGACAAATCTGAGGCACTGTACCAGATTGAGGTGTTGGAGAAGGTTTTGGAACAAACTGATAAATTAAACAGTAATAAACCACCAGGACCAGATGGCATTCACCCAAGAGTTCTGAAGGAACTCAGATATGGAATTGTAGAACTACTAACTGTGCTAGAATCATAGGGTTAGAAGGTACTGCAAGAGCCATCTAGTCTAACCCTCTGCCAAGATACAGGATTTGTTGTGTCTAAACCATCCAAGACAGATGGCTATCCAGCCACCTTTTGAAAACCTTTAGTAAGAAGCTTCCACAACCTCCCAAGGCAGGTTGCTATGTAACCTATTACTTAAATCAGCCTCTGTACCAGATGACTGGAAGGTAGCTAATGTAATGCTGATTTTTAAAAAATGTTTCAGAGGCAATCCTGGCAATTACAGGCTGGTAAGCCTAATTTCAGTACCAGGAAAATTGGTTGAAACTATAGTAAAGAACAGACACTTAGATGAACATGATATGTTGGGGAAGAGTCGATATGACTTTGGTGAGCTTGGAGATTGATTTCCATTTACAAATCTATTAGAATTTTTTGAGGGTGTCATCAAGCATGTGGACAAGGTTGATTAGTGGATATAGTATACTTGGACTTTCAGAGAGCTTTTGACATTGTCCCACACACAAGGCTCTTAAGCAAAGTAAGCAGTCATGGGATAAAAGGAAAAGTCCTCTCATGGATCAGTAACTGGTTTAAAAGTTGGGGGGGGGAAGGGGAAAGGGTAGGAATAAATGGTCAGGGTTTCACAATGAAAAGAGGTAAATAGTAGGGTCCCCCATGCATCTGTACTGGGACCTGTGCTGTTCAACATATTCATAAATGATCTGGAAAAAGGGATCAAGAGTGACATGGCAAAATTTGCAGACAGTACAAAATAACTCAGGTTAGTTAAGTCCAAAGCAGACTGCGAAGAGCTACAAAGAACTCTCACAAAACTGGATGACTGGGCAACGGAATGGCAGATGAAATTAAAGGTGGATAATTGCAAAATAATGCACATTGGGAAAAATAATCCCAACTATAAATACAAAATGATGGGGTCTAAATTAGCTGTTAGCACTCAAGAAAGAGATCTTGGAATCCTTGTGGACAGTTCTGACAACATCTGCTCAATGTGCAGCAGCAGTTCAAAAAATTAACAGAAAGTTAGGAACCACTAGGAAAGGGATAGATAATAAAACAGAAAATATCATAATGCCATGATATAAATCCATGGTATGCCCACACCTGGAATGCTGCATGCAATTTTGTTTGTCCCACCTCAAAAAAGATGTATTAGAATTGGAAAAGGTATACTGAAGGGCAACAAAAATTATTAGGGGTATGGAACAGCTTCCATATAAGGAGAGATTAAAAAGACTGACTGTTCATCTTAGAAAAAAGTTGACTATGGGGAGATATGATAGAGGTGTATAAAATCATGAATGGGTGGAGAAAGTGAATAGCGAAGTGTTATTTTCCCATTAACATAACAAGAACCAGGGGTTACTGAATGAAATTAATAGGCAGCAGGTGCAAAACAAACATGAAGTACTTAGTCACACAGTGCATATTAAACCTGTGGAACTCATTACCAAAGGATGTTGTGAAGACAGAATTATGTAAATTCATAGAGGATACGTCCATCAATGACTATTATCCAAGATGGTCAGGGACACAACCCTGTGCTTTGGTCCTCTCTCTAAACCTTGACTGCCAAAAGCTGGGACTGGACAATAGGAGATGGATCACTCAATAATTGCCGCCCTCTGTTAATTCCCTCTGCAGTATCTGGCACTGGTCACTGTCAGAAGACCATATTCTGGGCTAGATGAAAGATTGGTCTGACCCAATTTGGCCATTCTTATGGTCTTATACCATAAATATTTATTGTCCAGTTAATTTTCTGAAGTCTGTTACAATATACTAAAACTGCCTTTTTGTTTTGTCCCTCGCCCCGCACCCCCGCAAATGATTGAGTCTGAATTTCCATCTTTCATGATAGACTTTTAGCTTGTTGGAACATGTAATCAGAAATGTACAAAATTCCAGAGAAATATTTTTCTAACACTCTCTTTCCAGACATTCTTATGTGACCTCCCTTTTTATTTTGTAGCTTATATTAAGCACCACTGGTATATAAAATAACATCTATTTATATCTTGGATACTATGGTCAGTGTGTTTACTCTTACTTTTTTTTTTCTTCTATTTGCCCATGTAAATTTGTACCCTTCCTGTCCTTTCTACCTCTCTGTGTTTGGACCCAATGAAAGCCCAAATTAAAACTTAGAATAAAAATATATTGGAATTTGTCATTGAGGCTTTTAGGTTTTACTCACTTAAATTTTTCTGAATGGTAACAAATTAAATTGAAATAATTTATCAGACTTTACTAAAATGAATTCAGTAAAATCGTGCCATTCTGCTGTCTACAGGTGTATTATAACCAGAATGTGTGTTTTCTTTTTAAGAGATACAACACACTTGGAGATTGAACCTTTCACACTTCTTGGCGTCTGTGCTGGGCTTATTCCATATCCTCACCATAACCAGTCCCCAAGAAACACTTATCAGTGTGCTATGGGGAAGCAAGCAATGGGTAAGGTTTTTTTGCTTCAAAATTGGAATGTTGTAATTTTAAACATCACACAGCCTAAAATACTACAAATATGCTGGTCTACTAGATCATTTTAAAATGTTTCTGAGGAAATGAGAACATTTCTTATGAGCAATGGCGTATATGCCAGGAGAAATTGACTTTGTTCCAATTTTCATTTGTTTTTGTTTGTTTGTTATTTAAGAAATAGCTTAGTAAAATGGAGTCCAATTTTCTGGGATTTTCATACTTCAAAAGAAAATTTGAAGAAACCATAGCACTATTGTTCCTATTTTTGTAACAGTCATTACTTTCAAGTTTTCAGCATAGCTGGAAGATTGGCAGTGAGTGTTTTTTCTTTCTTTTTATACTGCAGTGTGCTGTGGGTTTCCAAACAAAAAAGAGAAAAAAAAGTGTTTGCACAAAGAGAGTGAAAGCACGGAGAAGTGATTTTTCTCTGAATAGTTAGAGTACTGTCGTTTTTTAATATATATTCATTAAGACTCAGTACCATGGCACTAAGAATTTGTCTTTTCTGGTAAGGGAGAGTACTTCCTCAGTGACCTCTCACTTCACAGTATTTTATATTTTGGCTTTATTTTGGGAGAGGCGGCTATGGGGTCATCTCAATGAAATAAGAAATGAAGTTAATTTTCTAAGCCTGGGTTTTTAATTAATTTTAAATTAATAATCGTTGGTATGGTTTCTTTTAACTGCCATCTTATGTTAGGTAGTTCTAGTTTTGCCATTTGATAAGCAGCTAAACCATCATTAACATTTTCTTATTAACTTGCGCGCCTAACTAATGTGCTATTTTGTCAAGCCACAGCAAGTCCCATTGAAAACCTGAACGGCAGGACATCAGTTCAGTCTGCCCTGTTCAGACTTCAGCTGTACGTGTCAGTTTTATGTCTTGTGTTTGTGACAAGTTGAGATTACAGTAAAAGAACCCGATGTGTCATGAAAAAATGATCTCTTATGTTAGGTTTACAAAATCATTTGTTTTGTGATGTGACTCCTAAATTGAAACAGTACACCTTTTGTGAAAATATTCTGTGAGAATTAATGGAAGAATAGCTGCTTTGTACCTAATGGTCAACTTTATTGTGTCAAAATACTTATAAATTAAAATAGCAAGAGCTGCATTACCACCTTAAAAAAGAAAAAGTAGAGGCAATTTTTTTCCTTTACAAGTTTTTTTCCCCCCAAGACTCTCTATTTTATGACTATTAGTCTCAGAACGTTTGGTTAGTTACCACACACAGTTAAGCAGGATCAGTGTGTACAGAAAGCCAATTCAGTATCTGTGGAGTTCTTTTGTAGTTTTCTGTGTGAAGGTTTTTTTTCTCGTTTTGTTTTGAGTGTCATTTGCAATTCATTGTCTGTGTTTTCTGAGGTTGGTGTATTCAGCTGCTTTGACCCTAGGTCTTGCACATTTAGCTCCTTGGATACAATCCTCTGACGTTACTGCTGACGCTAGGAACACAAAAGCCATTGAATATCTTTAGCAATAAAAAAAGCCTTTGTTTCGGTTTGTTATTACAAAACACCTGACTCCAAAGAATAAGCAGTGAGATAAAAGTACATTTTAAAAGTTGGCACATGACTTGGCTGTATGTTACTTTGTACACTGAAATATCGGCAAACACCCTGAGTCTTTATGAAAAGCTTGTGTACTACTTGGGGTTTTTTTTGTTTAAGTGGAGGTGATACCTAGCTGTAGGAGATTGTTACATATGCTTGTAGATTAGCTGTATAAAATGAAACCTACAGGATAGTCATGTAATTTGTTTGCATATATTTTTGTATTTACACAAATGCTGACAAGTACTTCAAACTTCTGTTGCTTTTTTTTTGCGCTTTAAAAAGTTCTCTCTCTCCCCTACTGGCTTTGCATAGCCCTCTGGAAGGACCAATGTCCACTCACTCCTTGTGGTGTCAAGAACTGGGAGTGTTGAGAGAGCATGCTGCCTCCCTAGAGGGAAGGTGGGACTTGGATTGCTCAGCACTGACGCTCTACTGATTTGAGGAAGCTGTATTGACAGGCTTTGAAGGAAGTCTTCAGTCAGAAACATAGTAATGTCATGGGTGAGAAGGGATGAGAAGCAGGGATAAATTGACCAGATCTCTCAATTTAGGAATTACATTAATAATGCAATATAACTGGCAATGTGTAGATTATTAAAATCTCAAAGTCAACATTTCTATAGGATAGTGCTTATTAAATGTACTATACTGAAAAATATATTTCATGGACAGAATGAGTGTTCTTGTTAATGTGCCGGTGCACTCAATAGTAGGTAAGACGGACTTCACTCAAGTGGTGGGAACACACTTTGTCCAGAGAATGTACAGTGTGATGCATATAGCATAATGCAGGGATGGGGGTGTTACCTGTACTTAGGTTGCAAGTACAGTTATGATTGCAAGATCTGCTGATTGCATGTGCACATTGCAGTACAGAAATAATTTCAAATTTAAGACAATGGTGTGTTATTTAATATTATAATTCAATATCCTGCATTATTAATGTTCCATATGTGGCTAGCATAATGCAATAAAGGATCAAAGACTCTGAAAATAGAGATGAATAAGACCTATTATTTATTGA